TTTATTTTACAATACCATTCAGTTCTACATATCAGCCATGGGTTTCCCTATTCTCCCCCCTCCCACCCTCTTCCCTTACCCCCAGCACACACCCCATTCCCACCTCCTCCAGGGCAAATCCTCCCCCGAGGACTGTGATCAACCTGGTAGACTCAGTCCAGGCAGGTCCAGTCCCTTCCTCCCAGCCTGAGCCAAGTGTCCCTGCATAAGCTCCAGGTTTCAAACAGCCAACTCATGCAATGAGCACAGGACTTGGTCACACTGTGCCCTGGCTATCTTAATCACTGTTGTTTGGGTTTGAAGGCAAGAGGTGTGGGTACAACCAATAGTCTACACTATCAGCAAGCTGAGGCAGGAGAATCACTTAGGATCATCCTAAGCAGTAAGAGTAATCAGGGCTGGAAAGAATGCTCAGTCTGTAGAGTGGCTGTCTCACAAGCGTGAGCATATGAATTGTGATCCCAGAACTCATACAAAAAGCTGGGGTGGTAATGGAAGCTGTCACACCGGCCCTGGTGGGATGGAGACAGGTGGGTCCCTGGAGGCCTTTGTTCATCCAGCATGACTGCATCAAGGAGCTTTGGGTTCACTGAGAGAGCCCGTCTCAAAAAATAAAAAGTGGAGCCGGCAAGATGGCTCACTGGGTAAAGGTGCTTGCATGCTGTCCTGACAGCCTGAGATGGATCTCTGGAATCGACATGCTCCAGAGAGTGAACCAGCTCCTCTAAGTTGTCCTCTGGCTACGCGCACATACATACTCCTAATACATAATTGTTTGAAAATATTTTTTAATTAAAAGGTGGAGCCATTGAGATGGCTCAGCATAAGCCTAGTGTCATAAAAATTTACATACTACTAAAAGATTAATATGATAGGTTTAAGATATCAAGGTGCTTGTATGTATTAAATAGAAAATATTAAATAGAAAAAAGTGACACAAAGGCACCTTTGACATGAAATGCATTTCTGCAATACTGCTTCACCTGCACCCTGACCTGCTTACCACCCCCGCTGGCAGTGTGAACCCGGGAGAGCCAGAGCGGGACCTGAAAATGAGATGGACTGAAGTCTCATGCAGAAGCAACTTTATCAGAGCATCATGCAGTTTATACTCTGAAGGCACATGAATACAACAGCTGAAGTAACTATCTGCTACACCTGGGAGGAGCGTACAAACACATTCCAAGAACAATTCTGTGTTTTGAAGAAACGGAGGTCACAAGACTCATGTCTTGTTTTCCTGGAGTTTTCTCACAAGCACTCAGAATTCCCTCCCATGACTCCATTTCTGGACTATGTTCAGACACTGACCATGTTATTCTTTTTTTGAGGGGGTAGTTGTTTTTTTTTTTTTTATTGCTTTATGTCTATAGATGTTTTGCCTACATGTATGTCTGAGCAGCATTTACGGAGGACAGAAAAGAACGTCAGACTCCCTGGAACTTGAATTACCCACAGTTGTGAGCAATCAGGTGGGTACTGAGATTTGAACCCTGTTCCTCTGGAAGAGTGCTCGTAAACACTGAGCCATCTCTCCAGTTCCATGACCATGCTTTTAAGAACCATTTTAAGGGATCAGCAACGTCACCCCACATGCCTGACTGGGTCATAGAGGAGAGTTCTGCCACCGTGCTACATGCACATGTTCCTTACTCTGGCAGCAGGCAGGACTCCTAGAGAAGCGTGTGTCCTGCTGGAATTGTAGCCACGTACTGCCCTTTTCCCTGGTGGTCTTGCTTCCTCCTGTGGCTGAGGTGGTGCACTGGTGATGTAGCAGAGCTGTTCTAAAGTGAGCTGTGTTCATTAACTCAGTAAGTCTTCATGACAGTGCTATAAGGTAGAGTATTTCATTGGCCCTATTATGCAGATGAGAATACTGATACATAAGAGACTGGGCCACATGCCTCAGGTCCTCGTGACTTATAACAGGCTTCAAAATTGGAACATTAGGACAATGCGCTTGCCCTTAGCCATATGCAAACTCCTTGAAAATACAAAATATGTAACATGATGGCTGCATTTTGAGATGATAAGGTACCTCCTACTCTGGCCACACACATAACATGAGTGTCCTGCCACAGCCCAGGGAATCCTGCTATGGTAAGTGAGATTATTTTTAATTTCTCATTCGCTAGATACTTATTTAACAAATACTCATTGCATATCTTCAATGGCTGATTATGTTGAATAATCTAAAATCAGATTTCAGAGTTACATTCTTAAAATACAAGTATGCACAGAACCATGTAATAGGAATGGGCAGATTGGCCTGTAAGGATGTATTATTATTAGGCCCGATGTCACACACTTAGAATACTAGAACTTAGGGGTCTGAGGCAGGAGGACAGAAAGGAAGAGAGGGATGGGGAGGGAGGAAGCTTCTCCTGGCTTTGGAAACAATTAAGCTCTTCCCGTGGAAAAATTCTGAATCCTATCCCATTGTGCCAAATCTACACGTTCATGGCTCTCACGTGGATATACATGCAAATCTACTCAAGTGATTGACACCCAACTCAGCTTTTGCTTCAGTCCTTTGTCTGAATCCACACCTTACTCTAACCAAGCTTCTGCCCACTGTTACTTTATGGGTAGGAACCATTTGTTAGGTGGTATGTGAACTGATCCACAAGAAGAACCCTACAGTATGTCCAGAGTCACAGAGGTGGCCACAGTATAGCTCAGTGTCCAGAAAGTGGGTGCCATGTGCAAGACCGGTGGAACCAACACCCAGCACTGAATAAAAAAGACTAGGATGTTGGGGAGGGAGAGAAGATAAAGGAAAAGTACTTCAGCCTGCCCATGTGGTGGTTTGCTTAGTACTCTATATATGTTACTCCCTTAATCCTCTAACAAAGAGTACCACTCAGCTGCCCCCACCTTTCAGCAATTTGACGGCAGCCAACCTTGAATCACTTTCATTTACCACGCTGTTTCAGGGTCCAGTGTTCACTCAGGCTAAACATGTTTGTTCTCAACCACCTGACCCAGTGGGTGACAACATGGAACTGTAAAGCCACCTCCCCTGGGAGCCCCCTCCTGACCTCTGCCACCTTCCAGTCCCAGGTTAGAATGCACTCAGTTCTCATTTGGACTTCCTGCCACACTTTTCCGACCTCCAGAGCCACTCTGAGCACTTGGTGATAAGGCTTCCTTTACACGCCTGTCTCCTTCCACTGTAGCGACTGTTAAGAGCATCAGTAAGGGATGCTTGAAAACCCAGCCCGACCAGCATACCTAACATAAGGTGGTCATTGAATAAATGAATGGCTTGGCCAAAGGTTAGTAAGTGGTAAAATTAGGGTTTGGGAAGGGTTAAGACTGGGCTCAAATCTCAGATCTATCTATGACTCCCAAGTTTAGCCTATCTGCACCTGAACTGGGGGCAGCTTTATAATTGCAAATAATCGCCCCTCCCACAAGGGTGGTGGTTAACATTTTGTGATTTGTTTTCTGCTGTGGAGGCTTTGAGGTGGCCTGAATTGGGAATATTAAGTAACGAGTACCTATAACAG